AAATAAGAAATATTCTGTAACACAAATTTTTAGATAATTTTCCACTGAATTATCAAACATTTCGCACAAAACAACGTGTGTTTCAAACGTCTTTCATAATGATAACAATTCTTACGTTTAAAAATGTATGATTTATTAGTATTCGCCCACAGAATGATCGAGATCAGTCTCTATGAAATTAAGATTAATACTATTAATCCATGATAGGACCAAAGATCATGATCCATATTTGCCTTGAGATGAGGAACCTAATGAACCAAATGATCATGTCCGTTTCAAACACACATGGTTGAGTAACCAATCAGTTCCTATACAACTCGCATATCCCGTACACCATTATAATAGTTATACAATATTTTATAAATAGTAATTAATTGAAATAAAATAACACATTGTATTAGAAATCAAAATTTTTTATTTCGCTTCTAATTTAATCGGAAAAAATAATTCAAAAAATTATTATAAATCAATTAAAAGTCAAAATACATGAGACAAAAGAGGGACAGAAATAGAGAAAAAATTTAAGATGCTTTTAAATGTCCGAAAATGTATATAAAGTTGTGGTGAATATTAATAGTAGTAATCAATTACAGGGTATTAATTATGTTACGTTTTTATGCCCCCACAAAATCACAATACTATCGTAATAATTAAATATCAATATCGTTGTAATTAATAAAATAATGAAATGAAAAATAAATGTGTCGTGAATTACATAAATGTCGGTCAAAGAGAAAAATATATATAGATATCAATGGGGAGTACATGTCTATGGGAGAGGGTGGGGGTGGGGGCGTGAAAGACCAGTCGCTATTCACCAGTACTACTATTAAAGGGCTATTAAGAGGTGTGGGGGTAATATCAATGAGCACCACCTCTAACTATCACTACTATTGATGCTATAATTATTAATTAAATACAATAAGATTGTAACTACAGGTGCCCCCCATTAAATAGCACACACGCGCACCAACACGTGTTACAACATTATCTCTAATGCCGTTCGCGCGATATGGAGCGCGACGGCGGAGTCCGGGGCCGACTCCTACTCTCCGATCGGCTTCGGCTGCGACTCGCGGACCGACTGGCGGAGCGTCCGTAACGGCGTTTCGGCGTACGTGAGCTATAAGTCACAAATGAATTGTTGTTTTTGGGAGAGAAATGTGTGGAAAAAATCAATAATTAGTAATTATATTGTAATATAAACTGAAATAAAACTTTATAATTATTTGAATAAAATAACGGTGAAATAGAGAGTGTGTATTGTGTGTGTTGGGCGCGCCGTTGGTCGGGCTGTCAATTACACCGATGGTTTTGTTTTTTCTCAGTAGTATCTCATTATATGAGACAATAAAATATAATGAAATACTTTGAAGACTAGGTGTGAAGCGAAGACACTGTACGACAGGTTAACGATAATAATAAATGAAACAAAACAAAAAAGTTATGTCTAATAAAAGCGATGATAAATACGATACAAGTAGTAGTACTGTAACGGAGACTCTGTAGGCGCCGGAAGGGCTGGCAATGTGTCGCTGGAGAGAGAGCTGTCTATCGACGGCTATTCATTTAGGCGACGACTACTGGACATTGTGTTTGAGTGTGTAATGAGAGGCGACGGGCGATGGATAGGGAGAGTGTGTAATAGTTATCTATCGGTTATCTGTGTATAAAAAAGTATGTGTGACTACGAGAGCGACGGCTGCGGCGGCGGCGACGATACACCCGTAGGACAGGACAGCACTGTCTGTCCTGTCGTTGTGGTCGTCGACGGAACTGACTTTACGGACGAGTATTTAAATTGAAGACAAAAACAAATCAAAAAATAATTAACTTTTTTAAATACAAAGTACTCAATATTGTTTTGGTCGGCGCTCGACGTGTGGTATGTCTGTGCCGTTGGCCGCGACGGTAGAGATAGTCGTCGATATTGGGGGCGCACACGATGTCCGATGTGGGCGTCGGACAGCACACCCTTCCCGATGTGGGAACGGTATGTGTAATACTATTGTATGCCTATCTCTGTATTGGGGCTAACATTATAGCTGTCTATCAATCGGCGATTCAATTGTTTCCTAACAAACAATATATACATATTGTTTGGTCAAACGGTGGGCCCCTCTATGACTGGGCCACCCCTCAGGTCTATGTCTATTATCATTGTATAACACATAAAATACACTCTCTTTGTAGTGATAAAGCTGTAGAGCGAGGGCTCAGGTGTGAGTGTAGTCGACGGTGTGGTAGAGATATGTGTGTCTATAAAAACCTGTGTATTATATAATATGGTAAATAATTGACAAACAATTTCACCACATTTTAATTGTATTTCATATGCCATTAGTATTAGTAGTAGAAACACATGTCATACACAAAACAAACTAGTCCTTAATTCAATTAGGGGTTAATATGATTATCCCATAGGAATAACACGGGATATAAAGTTAATATTTCTATTCGTTTAAAATACTGATTGAAATATCGGTATCGATGGTATGGCCAGAGATAACACAGTACTGGCTGTCTGTGTATGTCATATATGGTATAGTAATCCCTGTCCTAATTGATAATCACAGTAAAACAATACTAACACACAGTTCTGGCCATACGTTATAAATAACATGATATTTAAATCATTAAAAAGTAAACCAAACATAATGAACAAAAACACTATGATAATTACCGAGATCGGGAACGGCTCCGGGAACCACTGCGGGAACGGCGTCCGCGGGAATACTCACGTCTACCGCCACTAAACAAAACACACCATTAGTTAACAAAATCACAGCAAAAAAACAATTAAAATAAACAAAAAATCATAAAAACACATCAAAAAGACTGCAAAACAATCGGCCAACTGATCACCCGATAGAGTGACCAACTGTACGATCAGAATCAATGGTCTCCAATGATGGGATACCTGTAATACCTCGACTCGCGACCACCACCGCCGCCGTCGCGACGTCTACCGCCACCGCCGCCTCCACCACCTCCTCCTCCGCCACCACCGCCTCCGCCCCGACGGGTCCTTCCGTGAGACATCTCGACCCTCACTCGGGCGCCACCGATACGACTGAAACAACAAAATGAATAGTTGGTCACACTATTAGTCTTCATACACAAACACTAGTGATGGACAGTTGAGTCAAGTATACGAGTGTCGGCCACTAATACCCTATAACCTAAACAAACTAACCCCTAATATAACCCGTACGTAGAGAAAGAGAGTGACCAGATGTCATAGACATACACAACAAGTCCACCACCAGTACACCACCAAAGCCTGTTGACGGCTAGGGTGACCATCACTTCGGGGGGTACTTACGTGCCATCGAGACCCCTGACGGCGTCCTCGGCATCCCTGGCGTCCTCGAACTCAACGAAGGCAAAGCCCGGGGGGTTTCGGGCGACCCATACGTTCTTCAGCGGCCCGTATTTGCCGAACGCCGACTCCACGTCCGATTTGATGGCGTTTTCCTGCAAATTCCCGACGTATACCTTCGCGTCCAGATTCCAGTCCCGGTACCGGCCAGACATACTTGTTGGTCACACTAGTTGTGTTGGTCACGTGATATACACACCCGAAGTCCGCTTTAAACGTGATTTACGGCTCGAAGTAGTGCTGCGATTGTGGGAAACGTGTTGTGATTGTTAACCAAAACAGACACACAATGGGTATAGCAATGGCCGACTTGTATGCAAACCCTATGCGTTTCAATGCGCTGTGCGTACAGTGTGTTCGCAATGCCTGTACAGTACAGTACATGTAATGCGTTAACGTATTTTGTAGCCCTGGTATACAACGCCCTGAACCCCGGTATAAGCTATACGGCTCTGTCTATGCGTTTTTGCTGCCGATCGATACAGACGTATAGCGCTGTATACATGTATTGTGTGTTACGCTAACGATACAGTACACACCACTTATACGGATCATGCTGATTGTTTTATTATAATTGTTTGTGTTTTATCTAATTTTGATTATTTAATTTTGATATATTTATTTGAAATATTTTTATAATTGTTTTTATTTGTAGCAAATTAGTAATATAATTTTAATGTAGATTTAGCATGGATTAATTTAAAGTAACATTAAACGGCGTAACCAGTTTCTAATAGGAAATGTATGATAATACAAGTGCTGACACCTATACTTAGATTTTAAATACGTTACTAATTGAGAGATTGTTTGGCGCAAACTTTGATTTACCATAATTTTTAACCACAATTCATTTATGAAGAATGTGATTTATGCGTGGTGTAATTTAAAAATATAAAAAGCACTAGTACAAATAAAATTAATTATAATTACATCTATTATTTTTTATAATATTACTAGGGCAACCGTTTGGAAGCGTTTTGGAAGCGATTTTGGTTGATTTCATAGATATTAAAGTGTAATGCAAATTTGTTTGCATAAAACAGGTCTGTTAACGTAATGTGTTGTGTTTGAAATAGTGTTGTCCAAAGGTCAAAAAGTAAAAAAAACGAATTGACTTTTGACCCTTAAGGTCTCAAAAATCTTTGACTTTGACTTTGACCCGGGTTAACCCGGGTTAACCTTTTGACCATATTACGTAATTTTTGTCATAACAATAATAGTAATAATCATGTATAATATTAATAATTAATTATTTCTTTTGATACAATTGAGTTAACTATATTATTTACATTTATTATATATGAACAATTAATCCTTTTATCAAAATTTCATCAATCGAATTTCTTAATCGGTGCATACGCACCCAAAAAGTAGGTGAAAGTCAAGTGGTTAACCGTTTTTGACCGGCTGATGTCATTATATGAGTTATTTTTAGGATATTTTGCAAAAATTTTAGGGCATTTTGCAAAAATTCTAAGGTATTTTCTTACTTTTAAGGTTAAAAAGTTAACCCGGGTTAACCCGGGTCAAATACATATTTGACTTTTAACCTAACGAGTAAAAAAAATTGACTTTAATTCAGGTTAACCTGAGTCAAAAGTTAACCCTGAGTCAATTTGGACTACTCTAATTTGAAATGAAAGCACAGTGTGTTGTGTTTGTATGTAATTGCAGTACTCGCGTCGTTCACTGTCATAAACGCAACATAAATTACGTTATACTTTAATATATAGTTTTAAAAAATCCGCGGTTGCTCTAAATATTACAGGCCCCTATATCACGGGCAGACTGTATAGTTAAAAATTTAGTTTAATTAGCAAATAAATAAATTTTTAAGTTGTTTAAATAATTTAAGTATTATCGTATTTTTAAAATAAAATATTTTTGTATATTATTTATAAAATGTATAAGTTAAATATAAACGAGTTTGCTATACAAGTAAAATACAAGTAACTCCAGCTTGGTTAAATGATTTAATATGCAATACATTGTTTTTAGTACAAATGCAAAACTAAAACTACATTCAAATACAAATTGTAAAAACAAATTGCATTTCAATTCTTTTTTAAAATCATTTGGGAAATTCAAAACTTTTATTTGTTTTATTGTTTTCATGCATTAATAATAATTATAATAACTACTAATTTGTTGAGAGAAAGAGAGAGAGAGAGAGAGAGAGAGAGAGAGAGAGAGACCAGATGTTATGCTATGTTTATGTATATTTAAAATAATTTTTTCTGGGAATTCTCTACAAAAGCCTTTCGCAAAACTATTGAAAATCACAATTGGATTCAATTCCCAATTGCTCTTAACATCTGTATTAATGCATTTACTTTATAGCAAAGTCAAGTCTCTCTCTCTCTCTCTCTCTCTCTCTCTCTCTCAACAAATTAGTAGTTATTATAATTATTATTAATGTATGAAAACAATAAAACAAATAAAAGTTTTGAATTTCCCAAATGACTTGAAAAAGAATTGAAATGCAATTTGTCTTTATTTGAAAGTAGTTTTAGTTTTGCATTTGTACTAAAAACAATGTATTGCATATTAAATCATTTAACCAAGTTGAAGTTACTTGTATAGCAAACTCGTTTAGAATTAACTTACACATTTTATAAATAATATACAGAAATATTTTATTTTAACAATACAATAATACTTAAATTATTTAAACAGCCTAAACATTTAATTATTTGCTTATTAAACTAGGCAATTTTTACTAATAACATGATCAGTTAAAAAATTAATTGTTATTTTAAATGCAATGTGAAAAATAATAAATGTAATTATAATTAATTTTATTTGTACTAGCGCTTTTTATATATTTAAATTACACCAGCATAAACCACATTCTTCATATTAATAAATGAATTATGGCCAAGTATGTTTAGAGGGAGGCCGGGGCTGAAATATTTTGAACGTGGTTTTTGACCCATTCGTTATATTAGTATACTTTATATATGAATGAATTATGAATAGTGCATAAATTATAACACATTTAATTTTGCTGTGTACACTTGGGTGTACGAGTTTAACTTAAAAGTTTGACTTTTTAGTTGATTATGGCTAAAAAATTAGTAATTCAAAGTTTGCGCCAAACAATCACTCATTTAGTAACGTATCTAAAATCTAAGTATAGTTGTCAGCACTTGTATTACATTTCCAATTAGAAACTGTTTATGCCGTTTAATGTTACATTAAATTAATCCATGCTAAATCTACATTAAATTTACTATATTACTAATTTGCTACAAATAAAAACCATTATAAAAATATATCAAGGTTAAATAAATGACAATTAGGTAAACTACAAACAATTATAATAAAACAAAACACCATGATCCGTATAAGTGGTGTGTACTGTATGGGTAGCGTAACACACAATACATAGGGCGCTGATGTCTGTATCGATCGGCAGCGAAAACGCATAGACAGTGCCGTACAGACTAGACATGCAACTAAATTTCCCTTTTCCCTCTTCCCTGCAGGGATTCCCTTTTCCCTTAAGGGAAAAAGAGGGAAAGGGAATGAAAAATGAGTGAAGAGGGAAGGGAAGGGAATCCCTCTTACACAGAAAGGGAATCCCTTTAACAAAATTTCCCTTATTTTCCCTTTAATTCCCTGTAATTTATAAATAGTTTTTATAACAAATTATTTATTTAAAATATACAAATATGTAGGGTATTGTCTATAAAATAACATAACATACTGTAAATTCAATGCACTGTATTTTAGTGAAAACACGCCTTAATATCAGTATTTGCTGTGATTTTTAAGGGAAAAAGAGGGGAAAATAATTAAGAGGGAAAATAAGGGAAAAAGAGGGGAAAATAATTAAGAGGGAAAATAAGGGAAAAAGAGGGATTCCCTGTTGCCTGTAGAGGGAAGGGAAGGGATTCCCTCTTTGCNTAGAGGGAAGGGAAGGGATTCCCTCTTTGCATAGTTTAAGGGAAAAGGGAAGGGAAGGGAATTGAAAAATAGGAAAAGTGGCAAGTCTAGTACAGACTGTACAGTGTATACGGGGTTCAGGGCGTTGTATACCAGGGCTAATACAAAATATACGTTAACTGACAGGCATTGCGAACACACTGTACGCACAGCCCATTGAAACGCATAGCGCAGGCATACAAGTCGGCCATTGCTATACCCATTGTTAACAATCACAAGTTGTGATTCACAACACGTTTCCCACAATCGCAGCACTACTTCGCGACCTAAATCAAGTTCGGGTGTTGTGTATATCACGTGACTAACACAACTAGTGTGACCAACAAGAATGTCTGGCCGGTACCGGGACTGGAATCTGGACGCCAAGGTATACGTCGGGAATTTGCAGGAAAACGCCATCAAATCGGACGTGGAGTCGGCGTTCGGCAAATACGGGCCGCTGAAGAACGTATGGGTCGCCCGAAACCCCCCGGGCTTTGCATTCGTTGAGTTCGAGGACGCCAGGGATGCCGAGGACGCCGTCAGGGGTCTCGATGGCACGTAAGTACTCAGTGATGGTCACCCTAGCCGTCAACAGGCTTTGGTGGTGTACTAGTGGTGGACTTGTTGTGTATGTCTACGATATCTGGTCACTCTCTTCGTACGGGTTATATTAGGGGTCAGTTTGTTTAGGTCATGAACTCATAGGTATTAGTGGCCGACACTCATATACTTTACGCAACTGTCCGTCACTAGTGTTTGTGGTATAGCTATGTATGTATTAAGACTAATAGTGTGACCAACTATTTGTTTGTTGTTTCAGTCGTATCGGTGGCGCCCGAGTGAGGGTCGAGATGTCTCACGGAAGGACCCGTCGGGGCGGCGGCGGTGGTGGCGGAGGAGGAGGAGGTGGTGGCGGCGGTGGCGGTAGACGTCGCGACGGTGGCGGTGGTGGTCGGGAGTCGAGGTATTACAGGTATCCCATCATTTAAGACCATTGATTCTGATCGTACAGTTGGTCACTCTATCGGGTGATCAGTTGGCCGATTGTTTTGCAGTCTTTTTGATGTGTTTTTATGATTTTTTGTTTATTTTAATTGTTTTTTGCTGTGATTTTGTTAACTAATGGTGTGTTTTGTTTATGCGATTCAGCGGTGGTAGACGTGAGTATTCCCGCGGACGCCGTTCCCGCAGTGGTTCCCGGAGCCGTTCCCGATCTCGGTAATTATCATAGTGGTTTTGTTTCATTCTGTTTGGTGGACTTTTTAATGATTTAAATATCATGTTATTTATAACGTATGGCCAGAACTGTGTGTTAGTATTGTTTTGCTGTGATTATCAATTAGGACAGGGATTACTATACCGTATACACAGACAGCCAGTACTGTGTTGTGCAGCCATTATCTCTGGCCATACCATCGCTACCGATATTTCAATCAGTATTTTAAACGAATAGATATATTAACTTTATATTCCATGTTATTCCTATGGGATAAACATATTAACCCGTAATTGAATTAAGACTAGTTTGTTTTGTGTATGACATGTGTTTCCTACTACTAATACTAATGGCATATGAAATACAATTAAAATGTGGTGAAATTGTTTGTCAATTATTTACCATATTATATAATACACAGGTTTTTATAGACACACATATCTCTACCACACCGTCGACTA